CATAGACATATGAACTGACAAAGCTAATTAAATAATGATTATTTATTACCTTTATTTTGGTTTTATTTACTCTTGAAACAGAAAACTTTTGGGGATCCTGCGGAAGTACAGCTAGTATATATTTACATATATTTATTTGTTTTATTCACGAAACCTATGCAAGCAGATGAAGTTTACTCGTGATGTGCTGAATCAGTCAAGAGTACTATTTCATTTAAAATACTTCTTCTGTATCAAACATCTGTTTATGTGGTAAATTTCTCACAGTTATTACACACAAATTATCAAAATGCATAGTAGATTCGTTTAAATGTTCCGCTTCTTTCCTATTGGTTAGTATTATTAACGTCATGTGACGTAAAACACCAGGAAGCAATAATCTTGTGCGTCGATTTACACAGCTGGCACGGTTCTCCTAGTATTGGGCAGACATAAAGATACACTGTGGGTTTAACTAAGGTACGAATTCTATTTAATTTTATCTTTTACTTTATTTTCTAATATATAACTCAAAAGTTCAATTGATTCTTGGTATAATAAGCCAGTTCGTATGGCACTATTTTAATTTTTTGATGAGCAATACGGCCATTTCCTTTTCCTGTTTTAGGGACGCTAAGGGCGTTGCGTTGCGCTAGAGGTGTTCATTTCTATACTAGCGGCGAACGTTTACTCAGAAAGTGTAATCGGGAGCGTTGTCAACCCCATACCTCTGACTGGACCGGACACGGACGCTGGAAATGGCTCTGGACATTCTCGGTGAGAACTTGTACGACCTTGAAGAAAATTATTTGAATGACATCTGGAATTCAAGTCCATTGGACTCAGTAAGTAAAATGATTATGGTAGTAACTTTCGTCCGATCATTTCTCTTTATCACTAACGTTTCAGTTACCATATACATTAAAATATAAGCGTAACGAATAATATCAAATTGTTCTCAGAAAGTAGGACAAGGTAATAATATTTGATATAAGGAATAATGGCAGCGTTATATAATAGTGTTGATTATTTGAACCATGTAATACAGGTGGTTTTGTGAACCCAAAACTAACCTGACTCTCATATGTTGCCGTTGTCTTTATAAATGCCATATTGTAATAAACATATTACTCTCATATGTTGCCGTTGTCTTTATAAATGCCATATTGTAATAAACATATGACTCTCATATGTTGCCGTTGTCTTTATAAATGCCATATTGTAATAAACATATGACTCTCATATGTTGCCGTTGTCTTTATAAATGCCATATTGTAATAAACATATTAGAGACGTATGCTTGCAGGTTTCCGAAACAGATAACTTATCTTTTTTACAGCTATTAGAAATGGTCAATAATAATAAAATAAAATAAAACTTTTTTTTCGTGGAATTAGACACGTTTGCAAAGAGCACGTGATCGTTGCAACAAGTCGGTAGAAGTACACCATATGGAAAGATCGTGGTTCCCTCTTGTATCGTTGGCTTTTAAAAGTGTTTTTCAGCAATGAAAGAAGGAAAATTTTCCAAAACGTTTTGCAATATGTGATTATTCCATACATTTTCAGCGTGTTCAGATCATTCCTGTAGCAGTCTGTACGTTTACTTTACGATTTTCTTCCACATTGAAAGACTTTCCAAACTTTTACATGTTCATTAAATTACTTGTGTAATAACTCGTACATTCATTATATATATATATTCGTTTTTCCAGATTTAAAAAAAATCTCCATCGTCTATAATAATGATAACAATTACATATCTTGGGCTTTTAATTTCAGTTTTCATTTAGTGCCATATTCTTCGGGTTTCGTCTTAGATTTCATTTTCCAATTTTCATCTTATACTTAAATTCCTATCATAGTTGATAATAAACTATTTCTCTTTAATAGCTTTTTCGCCATTTCATTTATATATATATATTCAACTGTTTTATTAATTATTTCTTAAATTTAAATTTCTTTAAATAGTTATATTTCAGAACCTTAGTGCTGTTGTGTTTTTTGCGTTTAAATGGCTATTCAGTCCGTTTCACACTTTTTTAAATTTGTTTTTTCTTCATGAGTTTCCTGTTAAGAGATCCAGATTTCAAGATACAACGTAATAGCTATTACTTTTTTGGTGCGGGAAATATGCTTTATTATTATTACTATGTAAAAAGATATTGTAATAAGTTTTAAAATTTTTCTATCGCCACCAGAAAGAATGAGTTATGATTCTTTGAGTTTGAGTAGGATATTTTCCCATCCTAAAAAAGCTGAGGCTTATGATTATAGGTTACATTACAGTTTTTTTTTAACACGTAACCTTTTGTTTCCGGATTCTCCAAGATTACTATGTCATGTTTAAGTTTAAAAAAGACAAAGTTTACATGTTCTGTAAGTGCCCTAGAAATTCCTGTTTTTATAACGTACTCTACAGTGAATATACTGTCATTGGCTAATCTTATGTCCTGATTAAACATCGGAGGAGGGGGGGGGGGGAACACCATGGGAATGTAGGGATCTTCAGACAATTGTTCACAAAAATGCCCTTAATATGTATGAATACACTAGATATATAAATATATACATTTGTTTTTAAGGTTTAATGAATCATGTCCTTTTTATAAGATAACAGATCTGTTTGAAATATTATGGCTAATAATGTAATAAAAGCAACTTTCACTTAGATGATGGTAGGATAACGATTGTTTGACCTTTAAACAATATTCACCTAAACAATACCGAATATTCATGATGTCGGAAAAACACGTAGGTTCAAGAAGTCTTGATATAAGATGATAAAAACCCTATAACCCGAGCACTTTCGAAAAGTCCACTAAGCAGTGCATTATTGTCATTTATTACTTGTCTCTGTGTGAATACTGCCTGCTTTATCGATAAATTATGTTGGTTTTGAATTACATCAACCGAAAATAAGAATAGTTAAGAGACTGACTTCCACTCAGTTAGCTACTGCTTTGGTGTACACGGAGCATTGCTTCGTCCAATGCATTGTGCTGTAAAAACCACAATCAAGGGGCGTATCATAACTGGCATTTTTTACATTGTTGAATAGCACATAAGAGTGAGATAGTCCTTTGAGAAAATTCTTAGTTTTGATTTTATTGAAAAGAGGTAAAACACACTGTAATATTTATTAATGAAAATGATTAACTTCGTGTTCCAATCTTATACGAATAAATTAATTATTTTTACCACCGGACTCTACATCAACTTTAACTGTTTGATGTATCTGCATGCCTAAACAGTATCCGTTTCTACTAACTACTCAATCAAAAGATTTCATATTCGTTTTAAATGAAAGTGGTGCACATTGCTCAGAATGTTAGACATGCACCCCAAAGTTTATAGAATAACATTTCAAAATGGGAACCCCAGAACCTGCTTGCAACACTGCCTGCTTCGCTAGACACGGAGGTCATTTCAACGGGTAACTCGTACCCTCGAGCGATCGTGCAAGTGGGGAAAACATTCCAGTATGTGCGAGTCAGGCCAAGCGTGTGTCTACACCACGTGGTGACCGGTTCCCAGTCTTTAGATCATAGAGCAACGAGTCTTTCGAAGGGCAATGTGTGAGTGTTTTTTCTTCTTTTTTTGTTGTTGTTGTTTTTTTTTTTAGTTTGTTAGACGGAATGAAAAAATTTCAGAAGTGATCATAATAAAACTTATGTTATATTAGAATAAGTTGAAAATGGAGGAAAAATTATTTTCAAAAAGCTTATAAAACAGGAGTTAGGATTTTAACAGGAAATTTCGTGCGCGGTTGTCAAACTTTGTCACTTTAATTCTTTTCAAAGCTCACATAAAATCATAACAAAAAGCGACGCAAAACAACATAGTACGTTTGTTTTTGTGTGACGGCCACCTGGTAACTCAGTCGTAAGCTTTAAGGGCTTATTATAGCATTAAAATTCGGGGTTCGATCTTTGCGGTGAGTGCAGCACAGATAATCCATGATGCAGCTTTGATTTTCCCATAAACACAAATAAACATTGTAGGACATAATATGTGGTATCAGGACAATAAGTCGTTATAACGTTCACGAGGAACAACTACAGAATTTCGAAATATATTGTAAAATGGAAAACTAATAACTAGAGAATTAGAAATGTAAAATTTATTATCAGTATATTTGAAAGCTCTAATGTCGTTTGAATATTGACGAATAACTGTTCCCTCCCAGTATCTCAGTGGTAACTCGAAGACTTATAACTCTAAAATCCGGGTTTCGATACCTGTGATGGGCATAGCTCAGATAGCCCATTGTGCTAGCTTTGTGCTTAATAACAAATAAACGAATAACCGTGGAGAAATCTATCACATGTTACTTTATTGAAGAAGGAATGTGTAGTAAGTTGTCTCTAATCATTATTTCGTTGCCAGTTGAGTTTTAGATTTTTTATTGAGGACGCTGTTTAGTCTCCATACATCAAACCGTGATCAGTACTTTTTTTAAAAAAAACATACCAAAATCAATGTATTATTAGTCACTTCTGATCAAAAGTAAGCCAACATTATAGATCCGAAGTTAAAATGTAACTTGTTAGTTAATGTCGGTTTTCTTAGCGCAAAGATACAAAATGGGCTATCTGTGATCTGTCCACCACTGGTATCAAAGCCCGGTTTCTTGCATTTTAAGTCCGCAGACATACATACCGCTGTGACACGTGGGGGGGGGGGGGGCTGTAGGTTAATGCTGGTTTTCTTAGCGCAAAGGTACACAATGAGATAGCTGCACTCTGTCCACTGCGGGGACTCGAACCCCCTGATGCTAGAGCTGTGAATCGGTAAAATTACTGCTGACATACCGTGGGACTATAGATTAATGGCGCCAACTATATATAACAAACAGTTTAGAAGGATACAACGTCATAAATCTCTTAATCAATATATACATGAAAATTAATACCTGTAATGATTAGAATGCATAGGATCGTTAGCTGGCTATCCCCTCTTTTTACGATATATCAATCATAAACACAAAAATATTTCTTCTACGGGTTTTCTATACACCCTTTAAAAGCACGCGCATCTTATATCTTCCACATTCCCTTTGTTTGTTTGTTTGTTTGTTTGTTTGTTTTTAATTATGCACAAAGCTACACTAGGGCTATCTGTGCTCTGCCCACCACGGGTATCGAAACCCGGATTCTAGCGTTGTAAGTCCGCAGACCTACCGCTGTGCCACTGGAGGGGCCATTCCCTTTGTGTAAAATAGTTTGTATTACTTGTTTTTCTTCGTCTAGGCGGTAAACATGAAATGGTTTGTTTCACAATTGCTCTAGTAAAGAGATCAAGTCAAACAATGTATAATACGTTGAACAAATTTGACTAACATGTTAACGGCCTATGAAGTTTCCTCAAATGGAAGAAATAATTTTATCCCGTGTGTTGTAGTTGCAGGTCAAAGGTCAACGTCATAGTCGTCGAATGTACAAGGTAGAGTGTAGTGCAACATCAACAGGATATCTCGACTGCTTTAACAAAATAACCAGTTTCTTGTGAGGATAAAAATAAAATGTAAGCCGGCCACTCGCCATTTGGACCATGGAATCCTTGAACTAGTTTTCCTTTAATATGAATAACCCGTCTAAGCAAAAAAAAAAAAAAAGAACGACTGCTATTAGTGGGTAGTGTTGACCTGATTGAATATTATACCAGCATCTTAACAAAGACAACCTTGTGAAGGTTGTCTATTTCATCTAAAGTCCTAGACACATTCCAGCATATACTTAACTAGTAAAATATGGAAGAAGTGTTTTAGAATACACGAAACTTCATTAGAAAATTATTTATTTTATTGGAATGGTGTTATAGTGTCAGGTTATCTCCATCCTTCT